CTCAGGACCAGACCTGGACGCAGCAGCAAACACCTGACCCGACGCAGCTACCTGGCAAGACGCAGGGACAGGAGGAGACTTAGTGGTCAGGGTGTAGAGACTCGACCCCGGCCGACGTGAAAACGTAGCTAGGTGTCGGCCTGTGCGGGCGTCCGAGCAGTGGGTCACCCGCTGACTCGAAGGAGTAAATTGGTGAACCCCCGCATCCTGCAGGTCAGCACCACTCACCAAGTTCGTCGAGAACGAGGGGAGGTACAGACCAGACAGGGTGCCCAAGGGGGCAGCCGGACACGGGAGGAAAGTGGAAAAGTGAGAGAGGACAGGACCCCCAGTGGGGTCAGCCAGGGAGACCGCAACCGGCCGACAAAGCGGCGTGAGGGTGGTGCGGTCTCGAAAGAAGGAGCGAGAAGCCCCTGAGTCAAGTGTGAAGGTGAGAGAGGCCGAAGCCGACGCGGTACCTGAGAGCGCAGCCTCACCAGTACCTGAGAGCGCAGACGCGCTGGCACCTAGAGCAGCAGCCTCACAAGCACCTAGCGCAGCAGTACCATTGCCCGGGTCGGGCAGGAAACACCGGTAACAGTCACCCTCATCACTTATAGTCACAGCATACATGGCAGCAAGGATAGCATCAAAGTCAAGATCAAAGATCGCTACGCCAGCCCTAGACAGCTCTCCCCAGCGGGGAATCTCACTAGCCTCGGGGAACTGCTGACGCCAAGCGTCGGTCAGGCGGCCAAAGCAGCGCTGGGTGGAGTGGGCTCCCCCACACTGCTCACCCGCGCGGTCGCCGGAACGAAGAACGTAGGTGCACGGGCCAAAACCTCCACCACGCTGACGCTGCGTGTACCACTCATGGAGCTGCTCAGGCGGGGGGACGTCCCAAGAACGCTGCTGCTGGCGCTGACCACCACCAGAGCCGCTCCGCTGCGGGGCACTAACGCGACCGGCTCCACCTCCTCCGCCACCGCCGCCTCCACCTCCGCCACCACCGCCGCCTCCGCTTCCACCGCCGCCGCCGCCACCGCCTCCGCCTCCGCTGCCGCCACCACCGCCACCACCCCCGCCACCACTCCCACCGTCACCCCCACTCCCTCCGCCACCTCCACCGCCAGCTCCACCCGCACCCTTGCCCCCCTTGCCCTTGCCAGGGCGGCGTCTCCCGCTAGGGGCAGACGCCGCGCCGACCGACTCAAGACCAAGCAGGTCGGCAGCAGAAGCAGAGGCAACAGAGGGCAGTAGGGGGGAAGGAGAACACCCCTCAAAGATGGGGGTGCGCGGGTCTCCACGAGAGGCTCCTACAGCGACTATGCTCTTCTCTACCGCTAGGAGGGCCTTCTCGAGGAGGTCAACAGTGAGAGTGGTGGGACAGACTGAGAGGAAGTGGTCCCGGACTACGCGAAGGGAGTCAGGGAGGCGAGTGACTATATAATAGAGAGCGATGTACATGGGGGGGGGGGTCTTGGTGCAGAACTCAGCAGGAAGGGCGGCGCGGTAGCGGGTGTCACTAGTGCGGAGGTGCGTAATGAGGTCTGCGACAGTGGGAAAGGCAGCAAGATCAGGAAAGAGGTACGGTAGCATGAGGCGGCTCAGTGCAGCAGTGGCAGGGGAAGAGTAGCGCGCAACTACAGCGTCGTACAAGGTCTGAGCACTCTTGTACTGACTAAAGTGCGCGCGCTCAGTGGTAGGGAGGTGGCGACGCACAGCAAGACGTGCAGCAGCATCGCGCGTGGCCCACTGAGAGCGAACAGTGGGGTTAGCATCAGCAGCAGGAGCAGGAGAGGCGCCAGAGGTGAGGTCAAAGAGAGAAAGACCGTCCGCCCTATTGCACTGTAAAAACAGCTGCAGGTCGTCGACCCAGACCTCAAAGTCAATGGCTCGACCCTCAGCGTCAAAAGCGAGGACATTGGGGGTAGCCATGACGACAGACTAGCAGTGCAAGCAGTGGGGGCAGGGCACGCAGTAGCAGTGGGGCGTGCTCACCAGACAGGGCAGGACAGGCGGCTCGGCAGAAGGGCGGCTCGGCTGCAGGGCGGCTCGGCTGCGGGGCGGCTCGGCGGCTCGACAGCAGGGCGGCAGGGCGGCTCGGCGGTCAGGCGGCTTGGCGGCTCGGCGGCTCGGCTGCTGGGCGGCTCGGCTGCACAGCGGCTGGGCGGCTCGGCTCCTCCGGTACTCGGCGGCGCGGCGGTCGGCTACTCGGGTGCACGCTGCAGGGTGGTGCAGTGGGCGAGAAGAGTGGCCGGGCCGCTAAGCAGGGCGGGGGGGGGGGGGCGCGCAGGAAGGGCGGCGGGGCCGCTAAGGAAGGGCGGCGGGGCCGCGAAGTGCAGGGCGGCGGGGCCGATGAAGCTGAGGGCGGCGGGGCCGCGAAGGAAGGGCGGCGGGGCCGCGAAGGAAGGGCGGCGGGGCCGCTGTAGCAGGGCGGCGGGGCCGCTTAGCAGAGGGCGGCAGGGCCGCGAAGTGCAGGGCGGCGGAGCCGCTAAGGAAGGGCGGCGGGGCCGCGAAGTGCAGGGCGGCGGGGCCGCTGTAGCAGGGCGGCGGGGCCGCGTTAGCAGGGCGGCGGGGCCGCGAAGGAAGGGCGGCGGGGCCGCTTAGCAGGGCGACGGGGCCGCGAAGGAAGGGCGGCGGGGCCGCTTAGCAGAGGGCGGCAGGGCCGCGAAGTGCAGGGCGGCGGGGCCGCGAAGGAAGGGCGGCGGGGCCGTGAAGTGCAGGGCGGCGGGGCCGCTGTAGCAGGGCGGCGGGGCCGCTTAGCAGAGGGCGGCGGGGCCGCGTGAGCAGAGCGGCGGGGCCGCGAAGGAAGGGCGGCGGGGCCGCGTAGGTGAGGGCGGCGGGGCCGCGACGTAAGGGCGGCGGGGCCGCGTAGGTAAGGGCGGCGCGACGGGCCGCTAGGGGCGACACGGAGGGTCGCTAAAAAAAAAGGAAAACGCGCCTCGGGGCGCGCTTCGGTGGGCCCTAGAAGCAGTCCCTAGGAGGGAACCTGCTCTGATTCCATGTGAAATAAAGAACGCGAATGAATCAACTATGAATGAAGTGAGTACATATATGAAACCCTAATTGTGTTGTACCCCCTATGGGATACCCCACTATAGCCTACACAACAGCATAAGCTATAATGTTCTGACAGGTTCCACATTGAACCCTAAAGTGCCCACCGACAAAATGACGACCCGGAAAAACAACCATATAAGTGTTAATATAGATCACTTTATCGCGAGCGCGGAAAAGTGGTTATGAAACAGGGCTCTCGTTATTAGACCAAATTGGTCTGATTTTCTGATTTTAAGACCTTGATTTTTGTTTTCATCTGATTTTCAAGACGAGGATTTTTACTTCGTCTGATCTGTAAGATAACGAATTTCTGTTCATCTGATTTTTCAGAGGAAACCTTATACTTCGTCTGAAATTTCAGACAGGGGGTTGCATTTTGTCTGATATAGACCCCAATCCCCTCTCCCCCCCCCCCCCCCCCCCCCCCCCCCCCCCCCCCCCCCCCCCCTTCTTTCTCCCCGATCCCTCGCTTCTCTAACTGCGCAGCCCCCCATTTGATGCCCTCGCTCCTCGTCCCTATATTATACGCCTAGTCCAGCCCTTCTCCCCCTTTCCCCCAGCCTTAGGTCCCCTCCCCAGATCCCCGTCAGGGCTCTCGTTATCCGACTAATTTGGTCTGATGGTCTGATTTTCAGACTCACTTTTTTGGATTCATATGATTTGGCAAACAGGATCAGACAAAATCATGTCTAATGCCCGGGGGACCCATCTGATGAATCAGACGTCCTCAGATCCTAGCAAGAGCCCTGATCCCCGCTCCTAGCCTAGCCCGCTTTCCTCTCGAAAAGTCTCGCAACAGCCCAACACCCCCAGCCGAACTCCCCTGAAGTCCTTGTCGCAGCCCAACACCCACCCCCCCTGCCCTCAGCATGCCGCGAGCTGCCCAACAACCTTCCACATTTAGGTTGTGTCGCCCTGAATACACTACACGATGCAATTTGAAAAAAAACAGACAGCACTATCTATTTCAGCTGAATAATCAGACGTGGCGTTTGCACTCGTCTGAAAGTTCAGACTAACCTTTTTTCCTCGTCAAAACGTCAGACCAAACGGATTTTTTTATACACGTCTTGAGACGGGCTTGAATCCTAGCAAGAGCCCTGTTATGAAAGGTGGATGGACCGCGAAAGCGGTTTTGTAAAAATTGCAGCGCAGTATAAAAAATTACCGAGCCCAAAGCCCGTGCCGCGGTAATTCTCTCACATTGAGAAAGCTTGCTTTCTTTCTTATCAATTGGCATCGTTCTCATTACAAATGGCGTATTACAACATTTGCATCATCGTTCGACATAAGCTAGTGCGGACTAATAACACTAGCTATTATGTACCCTATCCAAGTGGCATTAGCAAGGCGGTTTACACTGGGGTGGGTGGTGGGAATGTTGAGTGAGCCGTTTGAAAATTGAGAAACGTGGGTGGAGGGAAATGAGCTCCAACCCACGGTTTTTGTAGTTGGAGAAGGGCGTTTAGCGCGCTTCGACGGTGCCAATTGTGCAGTACAAGCAGCTTCGCTTTTACAATACACAATTTAAAAAAACACTACATGTGTGTTTAAAAATTATAATATTTTGTGGACAAGGGAACTACTCAAAACAAATGAAGATATTGTAGTTGAGATAAAAGATAGGTGTAGTAACTTGTATTGCAGTTGTCCCTACAAAAGTCAGTTACATACGGTAATGAACCTTCATTTAGTGCGGTAGTTGGAGTAAACATTGGCTTACCGCACTTCTGCCACCGGCATATTTTTATGGCACCTTGTCAGACACACCTCCCATCCTACTTATGGCGAGCCTGGCCGCATTGAAGCAACAACTACAACACCAATTGCAATGTAGCGCGGGGTGATCGGAACAAACAAGCCGTCACAGAGCAGAAGATTTCAACTTTGATATACCAGTACCGTAAATTTGTGCCTGCCGTTTGGAGAACCTGCATCTACAATAGAAGGGTACTGTGTCAACTGGTTGAAGCCCTATCTCCTCCTCCCACATTCCTTGCCCTCCTCCCAATCGCTCTCCCATGCCCATCCATCACAGCACCCTGCTCTCCCGCCCCAGCCGCACCTCCCACCCCTCCTCCCCCCCACATCCCCCCTCCTGTCCCCACTCCGCCGCCCAAACTCGGCTCAAATAGCGCCGAAGCACCTTCAAGCTTCGCCCCTCTCGTCTCCCGCATACAGGAATGCAGAAACGGAACCGCAGCCGCCGACAGCACCGCAAACACAAAGAACGGAAACCCGGGGCTCGTCGCGTCAACAAGGCTCAGAAACGACGAGGAAAGAGCCGCCGCAACCAGCCTGCTGACTGCCACAGCAAGGCCGGTCCCTTGGGCTCGTAACCGGAGGGGGAAAATCTCCGGAGGGAGGAGAGTGGAGATGGGGGAGAGGCCTATAGCGAAGAACACAGTTAGGTTTGCTGCGGCGATCACGGAGAGAGCAGCGGCGTTGGATTGGAATGGGCGGGAGACGAGAGGGGTGAGCGGGGACGAGGAGGAGGGGTTTTCTGAAGAGATGTCAAACTCTCCACCGAGGTTCATTGTGTGGAGGACTATCGCTTGAGCTAGCAGGGCGATGGTCATGCCTGGCAGGGAGAGGGAGGGAAGGAAAGAGAGGTGAGAGGGGAGTGAGAGGTTCATACAACGAAATGAGCCTGCTGTGCTGATGAACAGCAGTGTCCTGCTTCCAATCGCATCCAATACGGAGAGGGGCATGAGGGAGGCGAGCGTGCGAGCGAGGGTCACTGCGACGCTGGCAGAGAGGAAACAAGTGACAGCTGAAACCCACCTGCTGTGCTGACTCGGGTGTCTCACCTGCTGTGCTGACTCGGGTGTCTCACCTGCTGTGCTGACTCGGGTGGCTCACCTGCTGTGCTGACTCGGGTGGCTCACCTGCTGTGCTGACTCGGGTGGCTCACCTGCTGTGCTGACTCGGGTGGCTCACCTGCTGTGCTGACTCGGGTGGCTCACCTGCTGTGCTGACTCGGGTGGCTCACCTGCTGTGCTGATGAGCAGCAAGGTTCGCCGGCCGATCTCGTCCAGAATAGAGACGGGCACGAGTGAGGCGAGCGTGCGAGCGAGGGCCACCGCGAGGCTGGCAGCAAGAGCAGGGGTGTGAAGCTCACCTGCTGTGCTGATGAGCAGCAGTGTCCGTCGCCCAATCTCGTCCAGAAGAGCAATGGGGACGAGCGAGGCGAGCGTGCAAGCGAGGGCCACCGCGAGGCTGGCAGAGAGGATGGCAGCAGAGGAGGTGAGACCCATCGTTGCGAAGAGCTCAGGTGTGTAGTAGAGCATGGTGGGGACGCCTGTGGCCTGGTGGTGGTTCAGTTGAGAGAGGGGGGAGGAAGGCGAGCAAGGGAAAGAGGAGGTGAGGCCCATTGTGGCAAAGAGCTCGGGGGTACAGTAGAGCATGGTGGGGACGCCTGTGGCCTGGTGGTGGGTGATTTGGGGAAGGAAAGAGAGAGAGGCAGAGAGAACAGTAGTAGAGGAGGTGAGATGAGGTGAGGCCCACGGTGGGGACCAGCTCGGGGGTAGAGCATTGTGGGGACGCCTGTGGCCTGGTGAATGAAAGCGCCGGGAGAAGGATAGAGAGAGTCAGAGAGAATGGCAGCAGAGGAGGTGAGACCCATGGTGGCGAAGTGCTCGGGGGTATAATAGAGCATGGTGGGGACGCCTGTGGCCTGGTGGTGGTTCAGTTGAGAGAGGGAAGGTGAGGGAGATGGAAGGAGAGAGGCAGTAGTAGAGAATTTTGGGGATGGAACGCCTGGGATGACTTTTGAGGCGCTTCGAAAAGTCAGAGGAGGTGAGCTTGATGTTAGTGAATGACTCCTCCTGGGAGTGGTAGGAAATTGACTTTTGAGACGTCTCAATAGGAGGTGAGCCTGATGGTAGCGAATGACTCCTTTTGGGAATGGTAGGAAATTGACTTTTGAGACGTCTCAATAGGAGGTGAGCCTGATGGTAGCGAATGACTCCTCCTGGGAGTGGTAAGAGATTGTGGGGATGGGACGCCTGGGGAGGATGGGAAGCCTGACTACTGCATTACCTGCTGGTAAAACGCAGCGCCCACAGCTATGTTGGTTTGACTTTTGAGAATTTATCAAAAGTCAAACCAGCATTGTGGGGATGGGACGCCTGGGGGGGCTGGGAAGCCTGACTACCGCATACCTGCTGGTAAACCCCCCGCAGCGCCCACAGCCAGCATGAGCATCTGCTTCACCGCCTGATTTGGCCGCATCAGCAGCAGATGAGGCGGCGGCGGGGGAAGGGTGGGTGGGGGTGTGGAGAGAGCATCGTACCTGCTGGTAGAATGCAGCGCCCACAGCCAGCATGAGCATCTGCTTCACCGCCTCATTTGGCCGCAGCAGCTCCCTCCGCACCCCCACCTTTGATTCTAGAGCGGAAGCCAAGAGCTAATCGTACCTGCTGGTAGTATGCAGCCCCCACAGCCACTTTCAGCATCTGCTCCACCGCCTCATTCGGCCGCATCAGCAGAGGATGAGGCAGCAGGGGAGGGGGGGTTGTGGAGAGAGAGAGCATCGTACCTGCTGGTAGAACGCAGCCCCCACGGCCAGCATGAGCATCTGCTTCACCGCCTCATTCGGCCGCACCAGCTCCCTCCACACCCCCACGCCCACCCCCCTGCCCTTCCCTCCCCCCAACATCCCCCCCTTCCGCAAACCCATCCCTCCACCACCCCCAGATAAACCGCCCCCAGATAAGCCTCCCCCAGTTGGACCCTTCCAGAACTGTGCTCCTGCAGGGGCGGTGGGTGTGAGGGAGTGTAGACCTGCCATCCCTCCTGCTCCCCCTGCTCCTCCACCTCCTCTGGCTGTTGCTGCTGAAGCTACCTCCCCATGCCCTCCTAGCAACGCTGCTGCTTCTGCATCATCACTCCCACTACCAGCACCAGAACCATCAGCATGAGCAGCGGCGGCGGCAGAAGCAGCAGCAGCGGCGGCAGCAGCAGCAGCAGCGGTCATATCTTCAAGCAGCGCAGCCGTCTCAACCTCTCTCCCGTCCTCCAGCACCAGCAGCACCTCCGCAGCCTCCCTCACCCTCCCCACCAGCACCAGCCACCGTGGGGATTCCGGCATACCCAGCCATAACACCCCGAGACCCAACCCTGCTGCGGGTACCACTCCAAACAGCAGCATCAGCCGCCAGTTATGAGGCGAAAACGCGCTTTCCGCTGCTGCTGCCGCTGCTGCAGCAGCTGCGGTGGCAGCAGTGGCAGCAGTAGGGTCGGTAGCAGCGGCGGCGGCGGCAGCAGCGACAGCTAGCGTTGGGTCGTACTTAGGGGACGGCGAGAGGAGAAAGGAGATTAAATACCCAAGGAGCAGCCCGAGGGAAGAGAGAAGCTCGCTGAGAGCAGAGAGAGAGCCGCGGGAATGGGCTGGGGCCAGCTCGACGCAGTAGAGAGGGCCGACAGTCATCCCGATACCGACGCCGAAACCGGTGAGGATGCGGGTGAAGAGGAGGGTGGGGAAGGTGTGAGAGAGGGCCATGGTGAGGAAGCCTAGGGAGGAGAGGATGGAGGAGAGGAGGAGGAGGGGGCGGCGGCCGAAGGAGTCGGCGAGAGGGCCGGAGAGGAGGGCTGAGATGGCTGCTGCGAAGCTGAAGGAACCGATGAAAAGCTCCTGGGAAGAGAGAGAGGTCGAAGAGGGTAGAGGGGTGGGGGGCGTTGATGAGAGAACAGATACAGCAGAACGAGAGAAGTCGAAGACAACTTGAAACAGAGCGTGAGGAGCAGTTTTGGACTTCTGAAAACAGAGGAGGAGGAGGAGGAGGAGGAGGAGGAGGAGGAGGAGGAGGAGGAGGAGGAGGAGGAGGAGGAGGAGGAGGAGGAGGAGGAGGAGGAGGAGGATGAGGAGGAGGAGGAGGAGGAGGAGGAGGAGGAGGAGGAGGAGGAGGAGGAGGAGGAGGAGGAGGAGGAGGAGGAGGAGGAGGAGGAGGAGGAGGCTCGGGCGGCAGCTGAGAAGTCTGCTTGAATATGGGGAGCTGATTTGCCTGGAACTTGGAGATTTGCAAATTTGAGGGTACCTCGGACCAGGTTCAGGAAGTTCAATGCTATGGTGGCAGACAGGCACCTGTAGTGGTGGCACTGTCCACGTGGATCACCTTATCTGCCTTGCTGACGTGGCTGGTACAGGTGGCGTGGCAGTGACTGACAGGTGGCGGCACACTCACCTTATCCGCAATGCTGAGGTGGTAGGTTCGCTGCACTATCAGCACGGCACCACTGGTCACGCCTATGTCTGTTTACCACGGACAGAGACAAAAGGGGAGCATGAGGGGGGAAGAAGAAAATACTGGATGCGACTCAACGGTCATAATGATCAGCATGGTACCTCTGGTGACGCCTATTCAGCCCATGAAGTGGGATGGTGGGTGGGGACAAAGGGGAATGGGGGATAGGAGAAGAGAAAAGTTTTTGAGAGGAATGCTTGGATTTTTTTTAGTCGACTGACAAGCTAAGGAGTTTGGGAGAACAGACAGGGTTACACGATACATTTGCGCGGCTTAGATACAAGTGGGATTATTTGAAGGAGATCAAAACTACCAAAGTGATCCCAATCGCATCCAGTCATCCAATGCCGTGCATGTGCATTCGCATCGACTACCTTGCTAATGCCACGTGTACAACCTAACGATCCTAGCTGGCATACCATATCCCATCAGCATCGAAGCTAGCGAGGCGAGCGCCACCGGGATCAATATCCGCTTGTTTATAGCAAGTAAGCGCATGAGCACAGCCATCACCATCCCGCCCCGTCCGAACCGCTTCGCTCCTCCCGCGCCGCCTCCCCGCGACGATCGCTCCGTGGCTCGTCCCCGCGACGCATTTAACGATCCCAGCTCCGGCGCTTCCGCGTCCGAGCCGCTGAAAACGGAGCCGCCTAACGCGTGTGTATGAAATCCGTCGTCTGTCGGGGAAAGCGTCTCGTCCAATGGCGGCAACTCCTCCGCCATTGGCGCTGTAAAGTCGCGTTCTGCCGAAATGTCCAAAATTGCTGCCTTGAAAGTACAACGTGCGTGACAATGCCGTGAAAAATCACACGGCTAGGAACTTTAGGAATGAGACAAGGCAACAAGTTCTAAGGACTTCGGTAATGGATAGATTTCCTGAATCCTGAACTTGTTTCTTCCTAACCTAAAACTACCGAACCTGTTTTCGATGTTCCTTGTCTGGTTTCCTAATCACTGATCGAAACACTACATGACACCAAGTCTGAACCTGATTCCGAGGTGCATCTGCTGGTTCGTCCAACTCGCTGGTCTCATCTGCGATACAAGCTTTCAGAAACACAGCCCACCGTCTCATTGTTGCAACTAATACACGAACATTTTAGTAGTTGTAAGGAATTTTCTCGGCATTCCTTATGGAGCCGACTACATCGCGTACAGCAACAGCCGTTGTTCGCCCGTTACTGCTAACGGGACTTCGCTGACTTCGCGCGCACTATTTTGCCAAACCTCGCATTGCTGGCATGGCCGTATCGGCCTACGCTTCGGGACTAGCCCGAACCTCGCTCCATTGTAGCACTAGCTAGCTCGCACGCACCGCGTTACCGTTTTGCATGTTTCGCGTATAAATGTTCGCTCATGCATTCGCTCACATTTTGTACTCGTTTGACACCCTAGTGCAATTCTCGCTGCTTCGATTCATTGCACCCGTAACACTTGGTATTCAGAGCCCCTTTCTTTTCGGACCGCGCATCTCCGCACACCAGGAAATCAACTTTTGATTTTTCACTCGAAGGGACTGCCGCACCTTAGCCCCTAGGAGCTGCTGTCCTCGCGTTCTCTCGTAAACGCGTGCAGCCACGACTGCGCCTAGACTAAGACGAGCCGACGCCCTTCGTCATGGCCGAAAATATCGACGTCACCACCCTCACGCAGGAGCGTTTGAACGATCTGCTGCGACAGCTGCACGAAAGTTCCGAGGAAATCGCGGCATTGACGCTCATCGCTGCAAAATGACCTCACGAGGGCACAACAAGCACAATCTCAAGCACCTGGCACTCCGATTCAACCTGCACCCTCAACATCACAACACGGGAGTGTGGGGCAACCCGCGAGTGTGGCCAGTGATGGCGTCGTCCGCCCTGACGGAGACGACGACCACGGCACGACACACCCCGGAGCGACGCATGCGGCCCCAAGTCAGCCTCGCGTCACGATTTCGGCACCAACCCACGATTCGGGACTGCCGTCACCGAGGCCGCTGAAGCCGCAGCGCCCGCCATGCTTTGACCCGAGTCAACGGGGTGGTCCTACCGTTCAGGCGTGGTTGTTCACAATGAATGTCTTCTTCGACGCCAACTACGTCTCGGAGGACTCGGCGAAGATTCGATACGCCGTGTCGCTGCTGCGAGGACCCGCCATGGACTGGTGGCGCGTCATCGTCACGAAGCCGACAGACTACGCGACACTACCGACACGGGAAGGACAAACCGGACCCTGGGCGCCGTAGTATTTCGTGGAGGTGCCCCAATATCGCACGTGGGACGCGTTGTGCGCAGGTCTGCGTGCTCGATTTGAGCCAATTGCGGCTTCGATCGCGGCACGACAGAAGCTCCGCACTTGGCGCCAACTCGGTTCCGTCCAGGACTACACGAGCGGATTTCTGGCGCTATGCGAACAGGTGGGCTACATGCATGAGAGCGAGCGCATCGACCGCTACATCGGCGGCCTGAAGCAGGACATCGCTCAGGAAATCCAGCTTCGCGGCGTCACCGAATTTCAGGAAATTCTCGCTATGGCGGAGAAGCTCGACTTCTTTCGCCGACCGAGACCGGGGTCCTACGGAAACAACAATTGGGGACATCGGCCTCGTGGGAGGAACGAGAGCGCCACGATACGCGCCGTCGCCGCAAATGCCGCTGTCGCACCGTTCAAAGGGCGCTGCTTTGCGTGCAATCGGCCGGGACATCGCAAGAGCGAATGCCCGGAAAACGCTAAGGGAAAGGGGGAAGCTGAGCAGCAGAAACAGACCAAGCAGCAGGGAAACGCTGGAAGTCAGTAGCAGACGGGCCCTCTACTGACAGGTCACGCCGCTCGCCCGACCCAACCGACCCTCACCGAGTGATTGTGCCGGTTCACGCAATCGACCACACCCGGCCGAATAAGGAGGGTACCACGGTAGACAGCCCTATACTGCTCAGTGGGAAAATTGGGACGGACTTAGTTAAAATCTTCGTAGACGGGGGAGCCAGCCACAGCCTCATTAACACTGCTACAGCACGAAAACTGCGACTGCCACTGGACAGATGCTTACCTGAGATCGACGCACGACTGGTAGACGGCACGCCGCTGGCAATACGGGAACGCGTAGACCGAGTTCGGATTCGATGCGGGGGTAACTTCACGTTTAGCCAGGAAATGCTCGCAACGACCCTCGACGGAACCGACATTTTACTCGGGCGTGATTGGCTGCGACGACACAATCCGCGAATCGACTGGACGACGGGTGACTGCACCGTGCGAGTGAACGGTAACAACATCGCCTTACCTCACTAGGGCTCGCCTTAGTCTTCGTCGGTGCGTGTCAATGCGATCACGATGAAACGCGCTGTAGCGGCCGGAGCTGACGTGTACGCGGTTGACATTCGGGAAGCCGAGGCAGCAGACAAGGGAGGGGATTTACAGAAACTGCTGACTGACGTACCGAGTGATCTGGCAGCACTGTTAACACGGTACAGTGACATTTTCCCGGATGACCTACCGACGGGACTGCCACCGCAGCGACCGCACGACCACAGGATAGAACTGGAACCGGGGGCACAGCCAACAGTACAGCGACAGTTCCGACTGTCAGAGTATTATAGCTGATGCATGTTTGTAGGCTATAGTGGGGTAGCACATATGGGGTACAGCTCTCTAGGGTTGCATTTGTACCTGACTCTGACTTAGTCATTTCACTCCTGTTTTCCTTGCTTCACATGGTATAGAGCGGGTCCTGCCTTAGGACCGTTTTTTTTTAGGGCCCACCGAAGCGCGCCCCGAGGCGCGCCCTTTTTTTAGCGACCCCTCGGGTCGCCTTTTCCCTCGCGGCCCCGCTGTCCCTCAGACGCGGCCCCGCCACCTCTCCTGATCGCGGCCCCGCCGCCTGCTTGACGCGGCCCCGCCGCCTCCCCTGACGCGGCCCCGCCGCCTCCCTTAACGCGGCCCCGCCGCCTCCCCTGACGCGGCCCCGCCTCTACTGCCGCGGCCCCGTCGCCGCCTCTGACGCGGCCCTGCCGGCCCGCCGCTACACCCTACGGCCCGCCGCTGCACCCTGCGGCCCGCCGCCTCACCTGACGGCCCCGCCGCTGCTCCTGCCGGCCCGCCGCTGCTCCTGCCGGCCCGCCGCTGCACCTGCCGGCCCGCCGCTGCACCCAGCGGCCCGCCGCTTCACCTGACGGCCCCGCCGCTGCACCTGCCGGCCCGCCGCTGCACCCTACGGCCCGCCGCTGCACCCTACGGCCCGCCGCCTCACCTGGTCGGCCCGCCACTGCACCCTACGGCCCCGCCGCTGCACCTGCCGGCCCGCCGCTGCACCTGCCGACCCGCCGCTGCACCTGCCGGCCCGCCGCTGCACCTGCCGGCCCGCCACTGCACCGGTCGACCCGCCGCTGCACCTGACGGCCCCGCCCCTGCATCTCCCGGCCGAGCCGCCCCAGCAGCCGAACCGCCCGGGAACCGAGCCGCCCAACGCCGAGCCGCCCGGGACCCGAGCCGCCCTGCCGCCGAGCCGCCCGGGAGCCGAGCCGCCCTGCTCCCGAGCCGCCCAGCCGCCGAGCCGCCCGGGAGCCGAGCCGCCCTGCGCCCGAGCCGCCCAGCCACCGAGCCGCCCGGGAGCCGAGCCGCTGTGCACCCGAGCCGCCCGGTCGCTGAGCCGCCTTTCTGCAGAGCTGCACGACCTGCCCTGCCTGGTGAGCACAGTCCCACTGACACTGCGAGCTCTTTCCCTACTGCTTGCACTGCGTCGCTGTCGTCGCCATGGCTA